ACACACACACACAACTACTGGGTAAGACTATTAGAATGTTATGAAATAATAAATTTCATTCTCCTTTTAATAAAATAATTCAGGAGCTGGAGATATAGTACAACAGGTAAGGTGCCTATCTTGCAAGCAGCTAATCTGGGTTCCATCTCTGGCATCCTATATAGTCCCTTGAGCCCCACTAGGAATGATCTCCAAGCACAGATCTAGGAGTAAGTCCTAAGCACCACCAGATGTAGCCTAAAAACATAACAAAACAGAAAAGAAAAAGAAAAAAAAATAAAGAAATTCAGGCGGCCAGAAAAACAGTATAGGGGTTAAGACAATTGTCTCATATGCAGTCAACCCTGATTTGGTCCCTGGCACCCCATGTTGTTCTCCAAGAATTGTCAGGAGTGATCCCTGTGCATGGAACCAGGAGTAACCCCTGAGCACAGCTGGTGCAGTTCAATTCCTTCCCTCTCCCTGACCAAAAAAGAAAGGAATTCATTCTTAGGTGAAGGGAAACTAAACAAAGCTTTATTAGGGCTGGGAAAGTGATTCAAGTGTTAGAACACATGCCTTAAACGTTCAAGGTTCTGGGATCAGTCACATCAACTACTGCCCTAGAGGTGTCTCTGGTGTGTGGCTCTGGTGCCCGCCTCCTCCTATCCCAGCAACAGGGGCTATAGCCAAAAGACTTTTATTTTTGCAGGTGCAGTGCTATAAAATATTCCAATATGTTGCTAATAAAATTGGATTTTACAATCTAGTAAACTAAACAAAGAGTGTGCTTAATTGATTAACCAGTTGAAGCTAAAACCTGAACTTCATAAATGTCATATTTTTCTAAATTTTTTAATTTAATTTTTTGGTGCCAGGTTTTAAACCCAGAGACTGAAACATGCAAGGTAAGTGCTCTACTGCTGAGCCACATCGCCAGCCCCTGAGAGCCTTTTCAGTTTTGTTTTCCTTCTATTCAGAGTGCAAAAGACACTAGCCCTATTCCTGTGAAATTATTTCATTACAAGCGTCTATTCTTGCACATTTGAAATGCAAACTTTATCTTAGTGAAACTTATTCCATACAATTAGGGGAATCTAAGTGATAAGCATAAGGACTTACAGAGAACCCTAACTAGGAACCAAACACGATTTTTGGCAATTTGTAGGATTAAGACATTTTGAGGGGGGGCAGGGAGATAGGAGGTGGGTAAGGCACTTGCCCTGCATAAGGCTGACCTGAATTCCATACCCAGCATCCCATATGGTCCCCTGAGCAACGCCAGGAATGATTCCTGACTGTGGAGCCAGGAGTAAGCCCTGATCATCATTGGGTCTGGCCCGAAACAAAAACAATCCCTCCTCCAAAAAATACAAAAAGCAAAACCCAACAAAAACATTTTGATATTTTATTATGATTCTTTGGAGATTTCCTTACTTAACAACAACATAAAGTGGTATTTTGGGGGCCAGAGAGATAGTATAGTGGGTAGGGTCTTGCATGTGGCCAACTCAGGTTCAATCCTGGCACCTCATATGGTCACTCCAGCTCCTCCAGGAGAGTTCTCTGAACACAGAGCCAGAAATAAGACCTGAACACCACTGGGTGTGGCACAAAAACTAAAACAGGAACAAAGAAATTAAAGAAGGTATTTTAGTTTAGTTTACATTATTTTTATTGAATCACTGTGAGATAGACCATTATAAAGTTGTTCATGATTGGATTTCAGTTGTACAGTGTTCAAAGACCCATGCTAAAGAAGGTATTTTAGAATAATCTTGTATTTTTCTGCCCTAGCTCTGAAACTGTTTTTCCGAAAAGCCCTCCTTTTACAAGGATCTGATATTTGGAAGTTAAGGTCTAGGTTTGCTTATTGTTACTAGAGTATCATTGTTTTGGGGTCCGTATAGCAGACTGGATCAGGAAATACAAACAGAGTTATAGCTGTGTCTCTTATATTAGACACCCTAAGTTTCTACTGATAATTCAATCCAAATCCATCAGAATTCTTTCAGGTTGTACCTCTCCCTTCTTCATCATTGAGACATTTATTATGGGGGCAGGAAGGGCATGGTTGAGACCGGGCCCTGGAACAGATCAGGGGCTATTCCTAACTGGAGATTCTTAAGGGTTATCACTAACTCTGTGGTCAAGAGTGACCCCTGGCAGGACTTAGAAAGGGGACCATAAGCAGTACTGGTGATCTTACAGAAGTTAGTTGCATCCAAGGCAATTGCCTTACTTGCTTTATTTCTCTGGCTCCCTAAATCTATTTTTAACCATTTGGAATATAAGTAAATTTGTCATGAGTACATTGCTGCTTCCCCTTCTGCCTTTTCTCTTTTGTGTTGTGATGACCAGGGTGTGATACTCGGTTGTGGTGCTCTCTAGGGGTCATGAACTTTTTGAGCTGCATTGTTACCACACCTTGTCGTGGCACGAGAGATTCCAAAGAGCAGTACAAAGAGCATGGTGCTCAGTGTGTGGGTGGTGCCAGGACCTGCTGCTAAGCTATCTTCAGTCTCTATATTGCTGTTTAGAAAAAAAAAAATTCCATTTCTATTAGTCTTTGTTCTCTAAGAACTATAAAAGCTCTGGAGTTTTCATTGTTTGTTGTTGTTGTTGTTTTCATATAACGGAGATGTCTATCAAGCAAAAGCTGTACACTGGATGATGTTTTAAGGGTGGGAATGCAATCATGAATAAAGCATCATTTTGGTGAGGGAACTGTGGATAGTGAAAGTAAGAGAAGAAAAGCTAGGAAACGGTGAAGTTGGGATCTGAACCCAGACAGCCTGGCTCCAGAATGCATCTTCCAGCATCTGACTCTGAGTGTGCTTCTAATTTGCTGACTTCTACAAAAGTTTATAACTCTCTGGAATCCAATAAAAATGCCTCTGTCCACTTCAAAATATACACAATGCACAGCCTTGTGCATCTTCCATGTTACTTAACTTCTTTTGAGATTCATTTTCCAAATTTGTAAAAATGAAGATGCTAACCTCAGATGGCCTGCTGAGGATAAATGAAATTCTATAAGCTTCATGGTGCTTTTGTGATGCAACACAGATATTTCGTGACTTATTTTCCTTCCTTTTTCAACATAAAAACTATATAAAATACTTCCAGAACAGAGATTTTTCTTATCTTTCTAATTCGATTAATCATTTATAGTCATTAATTCTTACATCCATCCAAAAAACATTTCTGTTTCTTCTTTTTTCTTTTGTTTTTTTGGGCCACACCCAGCAATGCTCAGGGGTTACTGCAGGCTCTGAAGTCAGGAATTATTCCTGGCGGTAATCAGGGAACGATATGGGATGCTGGGGACTGAATGCTGGTCAGCCATATTCAAGACAATCCCACTGTGCTCTGGGCCCCCAAAAGCATTTCTGGAGACTGCAATACAGATCAGGCTCTCATCATGCTGGTCATGGCAGATAAAGAAGCAGTGCAGTCTCCATCCGCATGTTGCTCACAGATGCATCAAAGACACACATGATTCCTGGACAATCTGACTGGTAGCTCAGATGTAGTTGGACAATGGCTGGTCATGGAAGGTGGTTCCCTGCTGTAGCACTCTGTGACAGGTATTACAGCAGTTCTGCTGATAAAGGTGACGATTATAAATGAACAACCACATTCATTCAATACAGTTCAACCAGGATTTCAACCAATCCTACTGTCCAACATCTGCACTCTGTCGTGGGAATGTGCAGGGGAACGGACAGCATAGACCCTGAAAAGCACTGGCAGCACCGAATATCTTTAAAAGAGATGCTTCGGCATAACACAGACAGTCCTGTGAGGATTTGGAGACACGAAATCTCCTGGTATGATACACTGGAGCTTAGAAGTAGCCAGTAGGGGCTGGAGCGATAGTACAGTGGGTAGAGCGGTTGCCTTTCACACGGCAGACCGGGGTTCAATCCCCTGCATCCCATATGGTCCCTGAGCACCGCCAGTAGTAATTCCAGAGTGCAGAGCCAGGAGTAACCCCTGTGCATCGCTGGGTGTGACCCAAAAAGCAAAAAAATAAATAAAATTAAAAAAAAAGTAGCCAGTAAATGAATAAGGAGTCATGGACGACTCATCATAGGGAAACAAAAAAAATCTGGCCAATATTGTATTTGTGGGTAGGTTGGAGGGTGGAAAGCAGGAAGATTGAAATCGATGCCTTCGTCAAGGTGACTGGAGCGTGCCTAGGAAGCCTGAGAAAGCCTACTGAACGGGACACAGACTTGGCGACGGTTGCAATGACATTCCGGGGCAAGTATGTAGACTCGGAACTGGAGGGAGCCCCGGGGAAGTGTTTGAGCAGCTGGCCGAGAAACAGTGGCCGTGGGAAGGTCACTCCAAGGGAGGCTGCGGGTAGCTCGTGGGAGGGTGACCTGCTGACCCTCCACGTGGGACCCCCACACCTCTCACGCACGGCGTCATCTCTGGGGTCCCCAAACCCCGAGCGTGGCCGCCGCCTTGCCAACACCCTGCCAACACCGCGTAATGTGCCCGAGACCCTCCAGGCGATCACGGAGGCCACGGTCAAGCGCGTGCAAACTCCCGGCCCGGGGCGGCGACCACCAACCAGGCCGGAGTGGACAGCCAGCATCAGGGCGTGCGGGCAACCAGGCAGCCAGGTGGCTTCGCAGCGGGGAGAGGACCTGGACCTCACGCTGACCATTGCTGCAAAGTGTCCGCCTGATGCAGGCGGAGGTGACCTCTGCCTGGAGAGTCTGCGCTGCCGGGCGGGAGCGAGGCGCGCTCGGGGAAGGGGGCGTCGGGACCCCGCGGGTGCAGAGCCGTGTGCCCTCGGGAGCCGGCCCGGAGGACGGACCCGCGACCCCCGCCCCGGGAGCGCGTCAGCCCCTCCCCGCTCCCGCAGGCGCGGCTCCAAGGTCAGGGTCACCTCGGGCCTGCCGGCAACCCCGTCACCTTGACGACCGAGCCCGGAAAGCCGGAAAGGACGGAAGCGGCTCCCCGCTCGTCGTCTCGCGAGATCTCCCGGTGCAGCCGCCGCCGCCGCCGCCGCCGGGCTGACGCGCCGGAGAGCGGCGGGCGGCTCTCGCGAGATCTGCGCGGCGTCGGAGCGCGGGGGGCCCCGGCCGTCAAGGGAAGCGGGAGCCGCCGGTGGGGAACATGTCGGAGTCGGAGCTCGGCAGGAAGTGGGACCGGTGCATGGCGGATGCGGTGGTGAAGATCGGTGAGCGGGCGCGCGCGGCCGGGGGCGGGGAGCGGCCTCGGGAGGGCTCGGCCGGGGGCCGGGAAGAGGGGCCGGCGCGGCGGCGGGGCCGGGGTCCCGAGCCCGCAGCCCGCCCGCCCGCCCGCCCGGGAGGCCGCGCGCCCCCGCCGCCCGCCGAGGAAGGTCACCGGGAGGCCGCGCCGACTCTCCTGCCCGACGGGGGCGCCGGCCTCTCGCGGCCTGGCGGCGGGGGCGAGCGTCGCCCCGGAAGGGCTCGCTCCCCCGTGCGCCCGGGGACTGCACCCGGGGAGCCCGGGACGGGCACTGCCCCGAGGGGCGTGGAGGGGCGGGCTGGGAGAGGGGGTCGCGCCCGGGCGGAGAGAGGCATCTGCCGGCCCCTGCGCGCCGGGTCTCCTCCTCCGGGGCCAGGAGTGGGTGGGGAAGACGAGCCCGGGGGTCTGGGGTCGGCCCCAGGCCCGGTCGGTCCCCGTGTCCCGGCGGGGAAAGCGACGCCGGGTTGGGGTGGAACCCGGGGCCTCGCGCGTGCGGGGCCGCGCGGGACCCAGATCCTCGCCCACCAGCCTCGGCGCCTGCTCTTCGACGCCGGCTTTGGACCCTCCGCATCCCGTGGTTTCTCTTGGGGGGTCCAGAAGAGCCGCTTTCGAGCGTGGCCCGAGGGAGAGCGAGCAGGTTCTCTTGCGTGATGGATGGATTCGCCACCGGCGTGTGCAGGGTCTCCGGGAAGGACGCTTCGTTAGAAACTGTTGAGGATGAATCAATCCTGTTAATTTTTCACTATCGTTGCACTCCGGTTCAGCACTTCACCATCTGGGTCGCTTCGGCAGTTTATTTAACCTCTCCTGCGCTCTTTCCTGTTTGGCAATTGGGCAGTATTTGGCTCTTCCTCGCTCACAGAATTGGTGGGAGTGTTGAAATGAGCATGTGGAGGCTTCAGGATGGATCTCTTAGTAGAAATGGGCTCTTCTGGAAATCACCAAGGACAGTTTTCGTTGGCAGATTGCAGTTAGAGGAGATTCCACATCTAGGTACCAAATGACCAAAATAATAATGATTATTATTTGCAATTATATCATAAATAATTTATAATTATTACTATTGTTATTTTTGTTAAGCATACTTTTTTTTTTTTTTTACTTTTTGGGTCACACCCGGCAATGCACAGGGGTTACTCCTGGCTCTGCACTCAGGAATTACTCCTGGCGGTGCTCAGGGGACCATATGGGATGCTGGGGATCGAACCCGGGTCAGCCACGTGCAACGCAAACGCCCTACCCGCTGTGCTATTGCTCCAGCCCCTAAGCATACTTCTTGAGTGTGGGAATACAGCATTGAATAAGCCAGGGACCCTCCCTGCTTTTTTGTTCACGATTTTCTTTCCTAAAGTAACTACTAAAGAGTGTGATACATGCGGTTAAAAATAGGCTTTGTGGGACTGGGAATGTGGCTTAGTGGTGATGCACTTATCAAGTATGAGGCCCTGGGTTCAGTTACAAACACCACATGGTCCCCCCCACCACCACCACCACTCTGGTTGTGGACCAAAGCAAACAAACTAAAAATGGTTGATTTTGGAGAGAGAGAGAGAGAGACACCTGAATTTGAAATTATTTATTCTTTACCCCATCTGCCTCACTGGTTTTATAGCTTTGGGTAAGATCTCTTTCTTAATTATGTAATGAAGACATTGCTTTTGAAGGATTAAGAGGATTAAAGGATCTTATTAAAAAATAAGATACTTAGTTTCATGTCTGGTCCTTATGTGTTCAGGAATGGTAGTAATGATTGTTGATATCAGTAATATGCTACTGATGATCGCTTGCGGCAGTAAGTAGTCTCACTGTCATTTATGTGTAGGGTGTTGTGGGGGACACAGTTGTAAAAATGAGGAAAGGGAAGAATTGAATGACTGATTCAAACTCTTTAGGTCTATTATAAAGCAAGTAAGTGGAATCATCCAGTGAGAATTTGTAAAGACTATGGGACTTTAGCTGATCTTTGGAGAATGCCCTGAATATTTTTTTTTTTTTGCTTTTTTTTGGGTCACACCTGGCGATGCACAGGGGTTACTCCTAGCTCTATACTCAGAAGTTACTCCTGGCAGTGCTCAGGGGACAATATGGGATGCTGGGAACCGAACCCGGGTCAGCTGCGTGCAAGGCAAACGCCCTACCCACTGTGCTATCTCTCCAGCCCCGCCCTGAACTTTGATGGTCCGAGAACAGAGTCTGAGTCCCCCCCCCAAAAAAAAATTTTTTTTTCCATGTGCAGGATTTAACCCGGGAAGACCTCACACGGAATGTAACTGCCCACTGTGTGAATTCCTGACCCCAACTAAGTCAAACTGAGTTTATAGAGAAGGAAATTTGCCAGCATGTAAAGGCTGGGGAGATAGCTCAAGGTGCTTTAGAGCATGCCTGGCTCAAAGGTCTTTGATTCCTGATACCATGTCATCTGGAGGACTGATAGGTAGAGCCCTACCCTCCCACCCCTGCTCCACTCACCCCCAAAAAGAGAGAATCAAGCATCTAGAAGTGAAGGGTCCCTATTGGAGTTTAAGCATTCTTATTTCACTGCCACTTCTCCGTAAAGAAAGAGGTAGCTTTTCATGGAGTCAGTTGTGAAATGTCTGAGATTCCACTTTGTCTTGAACTCTCTCTCTTGACTTTGGTGTAGTATATTTACAAACATTCCACATACCCAACATCTCTGTCTTAGAAATCTCTAGGGGGTCAGAATGATAGTACGGAATGATAGTACAATGGTAGAGCTCTTGCCTTGCATGTGGCTGACTAGGGTTTGATCCCTGGCACCCCTTATGGTTCCCTGAGCTCTGCCAGAAGTGATCCCTGAGCATAGAGCCCAGTGTAAGCCTTGGCACAGCTAGGTGTGTAGCCCAACACCCCACCCCTGGGGGAAAAAAATGGATTCTTATGCTTCAGACCTGGTTTGATCCCAGCACTACACATCTAGGTGTACTCTGGAGGTCCTCTAGCATAGCTGGATGTGATCTGGTGGTCCCTGGGTGTAGGTTCAAGCAATACTACATTGTCACGTCCAAGCATTGATTGAGGTGTTGCCAGGAGTGGTCCCTAGGGCCTCCTAAGCATACTTGGGCGGTGCTACCAAAAAAAAAATTCGTCTATTTCTGTCTCTAAAGCTATTTAGGCCTAGACTGGTAGGGAGTCATGCAATAGTTCTAAGCAACAAATATTTATTGAACTCTGGGCTAGTAAAGAAACAACGCATTTCACTGCTCTCAGCGGGGAATTGCTGTGATCAAAATGGAATTTGGTATGATTGTCTGGCAGGGTTTTATACAGAACAGATCTGGAGTAGAGGAGGCTAACTGACTCCTTTGAATGTGAAGTGGTGAAAGTTTGGGCTCTTATTTTTGGGCTACTCCCTTGCTCTGTGGTCAGAGGGTCACTTCTGGAGGTACTTCATGGATCATGGATTTTGGGGCACTCAGCCTGGGACTTGAGCATGCAAAAGCTTGTGTATGCTAGAAATTAAGAAACCCTTTGAGTCATCTCCCTGATCCAGAAGTCTGATCTCTTAGACCATTATTCTTTAACTGCCAAGGCCAACAGGTAATGGGGAAGGTCAGAAACCACTAGTCAGGTTCTTACTACCCCTCTGAGAATGGGATTACAGGTCAGGTGCTTGTCTGCAAGTATGAAAGGTTGAAGGACATTGTCTTAGACCATAGGGTGGGTGTGTTTGAGACACTTCAGTCTTCCCCCATTTACAAAATGGAAACACTAGTACCTACTTCCTAGGCTACAGTAATGCTGAGTACACAGTAATAAATCGATAAATGCTATTTTCCTTTTTTATTTTTTCTAGAGGCGGGTTTTGGGTTTTGGGCCACACTTGGCAACGTTCAGGGGTTACTCCTGGCTTTGCACTCATGAATTACTCGGGGGACCATATGTGATGCTAGGGATTGAACCTATTCGGCTTTGTCCAAGGCCCTACCTGCCATACTGTCGCTCAAAAAAGTGCTGTTTTCTTGATCTTCTCTTTAGCTAGTTAACTTTGTCTTGTTTTCACTTCTTATTAAGGTGATGCCAAGATTAGAACTTGGTCAAGTGGTAATGTCTTTGATTAGAATTTGGAAATAGGGTTTGGAAAGAGGTAACTTGAAAAACTAGAGCTCACGGCTGGTGTTAGGGAAGCGTCAGGTTTGACCTCCAGCACAGTCAGATGTGGGCCTAAAAGAGATGCAGAGTGCATATACATTATTTGCAATAAACAGCATAGAAGATTTAGCAATTTATTATATGGGAGAATATAGTGAGGAAAAAGGTCTTGATTTTGATTTCTTTACTTCTTACATAGTTGAATTTGTCTGAGAATAAGTTGAGGAAGGGGGTTTTAATTAAGCAGGGGGCACAGAGATTGGGTCATACCCAGCTATGCCCAGGGCTTACTCATGGCTGTGCCCAGACATCACTCCTGGTACTGCTCAGGATACCTAATGCAGTGCCAGAATCAAACCAGAGGCAAGTACTTTAATGCCTGCACCATCTTTCTGGCAGCCTGCGGGGTAATTTTGAGGGAGACGTTGACTTCAGATTTTGAGGGGGATGTCTCTTTCTTTAGTAATGTACTTAAAGAGTATACTAGAGATGAAGCATGGACAATGATTAGGGGGGAGGTTAGTTTAAATGGTCTTTGAGACTATTAAAGGAACATAGTTCTGTAGTGGGTATTTTAGTTCCTATTCCAGTACAGTGAGGTTAGGGATTGTATATTTTGTGGGGGTTGTTGGGCCACACTAGGTGATGCTGGGGGCTACTTCTGACTTAGTGCTTCAGGTCTTTCCCTGCAGTGTGTGGGGAAATATGTGGTATCAGGAATCGAACCGGGGACTCCTGCGTAAAAATATCTCCCCGGCCTCGTTTTATTTTGCAGGCCAGTTTTATTTTTTGTTTTGGTCACAGCACCTCTCCTGGAGCCATCCCTGTAGACGAAGCCAGGACTAAGCCCTGGGGTTG